GAGAGTGACTCTGATGATTCCTTGTCATTGTTATCAGGTGTAGAATATTTAGAAACAGATTTTGACTATGAATCAGACTAAAGTATTTTTAGTCTGATTCATAGTCAAAATCTTATCTTAAATTTTCTATTGTGATTAACATGATGATTTTGTGACACCTGTATTATGTAATTTATCCATGGCACTTAATTGTAACAAAAATAAATGTTTTTTTTATTGTAATCTGGTGTTTATATTGACTAATTTAATTTGATAGATAGTGGTTCTGGATCAGAGCAAAAGGTTGTGATGAAAATCCCTTAGGAGACATGTATGTGTTATGAACACATTATAAATATAAGGGCCAGAAATCAAAATTGTGGCCAGAGTCGCCCATATTCATTACAAAAAAACAAAGAAGTCGTTGCAAAAAACACCCTTTTAATTAATGACAAATATGAATTTTTAATATTATAAGTGCTGTTAGCCAATAGGTATAACGAATGGGTTAAAAAAAAGATTCGATTTAGTCCGTCAGTCAGATAATAGAAAAATATTGGATACGTATTTTTTTTCGCTTTAATTTAACAACAAATGGCTTAAGAGGTAGTATGCGACGACTTCAAATATGCTTTGCAACAATGTTACTTTAATACAGTTTATCGATACGAAATCAAGTGTCAAAATGGAGTCCAGTGGAGAATGCCGATATTGACATTTCGAAATTGCTCATCATTGATAGAGAATACGAAATAGTGATTTTGACACAATCAAAGTGTCTATTTTTTACGATGACGATTCTTGGTTGTCAGTTGAGTTAGTGAATAGGCCTACTGATATGCTGTTAACTGTACAATTAAGAACAGTCACGCTTTAGTCAAATGTTCCAAAACAAATAATTTTAATTGATATCTAAATGTTAAGATTAAATATAATTAATAAAAGTATCAAAATTATTTTGCAGTACTACATTCAGTGTTTACTGCTTAAGAATTTTTGAAATTGCCGCCCTTTTCTTGTGACACGTTTCGCTTGCCAGACTCTATCTGACTGACGGACTAAATCGTCCAGTCAGATACCAATATAATCTAATCAAAAAAATACTAATCTCTTCGAACGAGGCGCTTCGTATAATTATGATAGAACTTCACTTGGTAAGTTCGTTTAATCATTAATTAACGTTAGACTAATCTTTCTACGATGATTTAGGAAAATGTTACATTTGCTCTCTGAATGAGGAAGTATTTAAAAAATAAAAATTAGTTCTTGAAATCATACTAGATGTCACTCGAGATATTTGGATTTGTTTATGATATTTATTCAAATTTTGTTTCTGACGTAATAAAAGTAAATTGAGTATCGAAAATTAATAAATATGACATCGTTTTGTGTTTCTTATAATATCCAACTTTCAAATTAATTTTAATCGTAAGTTTATTTTGTTACGAGGATAGGAACGATGTTTAGTTGATACGTCAACATTAGTGATGGCCAATTTATTGGGTGCTCGTAACTTGCATCCGAATTCAGGTTTTAAGAACAAAAAGTGGAGCGCAGAATTCAGCTTGTATTTGTATGTATCATTATGCATCCACAAAACGAATGAAATTAATATAAATATCAAAATCAATTCAGTCTAGGCTGTTACATATTACTTGTGAAAGTCGAAAACTTTGCCAATGGTTCGCAAAACTAAGGAGGGAGCTCTCGTACTGACAAGAGTCGGCAAGAAACTCAGCAAGGGCTGCTTTTTCAATTTCAACTATACAACTTAATTATACTATATTTGAGGAAACATATCGACCTAACGCACACGACACCACCGCAGAGATTTTAAGAGATCATGACTACTCTAGATACTTAGAAAATAATATATTTCAATAAAACTGATTTCTAGAGTACGTTGTGTAGGAAGTCAATTTATTATTAACTAATTTACTTATAGACATGAAAGAAAACCGGAAGGGTAGTCATGGAGAAATCAAGAACGTACCGTAGCTACATCTAGTTTAATTTTGGGAACTAATGTTTTTTTTAAATACCTCCTCATTGCTACTAGGTGGATTGAAAAGTTCGTAGCCTCGGCAAGAAAACAATATAAAATATAAGCACAAGTAATTTTATATTTTCCACGTAATCTCCACTTAACTCTATGCACTTCTTCCATCTGGTTTCCAACGCCTATATGCCGGTCATAAAAAAAAGTTTCTTCAAGGCCTTCAAAAAAGTCACCCACAGCAGCTTCGATCTCCTTATTTGATGAAAATTTTTGACCTCCAAGGTGTTTTTTTAGGTTTGGGAATAAATAAAAGTCTGAAGGTGCCAAATCAGGGGAATAGGCGGGATGGGGCAGTAATTCTAAGCCACAATCACGAATTTGAGCCATAGATTCATCAGACGTGTGAACGCGTGCATTATTCTGATGAAGCAACACTTTCTTGCTAAGTAATCCTGGCCTTTTGTCTTTGATTGTTTTGCGCAAGCGACGTAAAAGGGTGCAGTAATAAACAGAGTTTATAATTTCACCTTTTGCAAGGTAGTCCACCATGATGACACCCTTAGATAGCATCCCAAAAAACTGACAACCTTGCAAGCTGAGAAAATTGTTTTGGCTTTTTTTGGAGTCAGTTCATCTCGTTTTTTCCACTACTTGGATTACTGTTTTGACTCTGGGGTGTAGTGGTGTACCCGAGTTTTATCCATTGTTACAAATCTGGATAAAAAATTTTGTGGATCAGCCTCAAACATTTCTAAACAGTCGCGAGAAATCGTGAGGCGTATTAGTTTTTGTTCGACTGAAAGCAATCTGGATACCCACCGCGCAGAAACCATTGAAAATCCAAGTTCATTGACTATGATGTTTTGTGTTCGTTCGTACGACATGCCAATAGTGTTTGCTTACTCCCTGATGGTCAATATCCGATCTGTCAATATCAGATCACAGATTTTCCCGATGTTTTCTTTAGTCGTAGACGTCATAGGCCGGCCAGAGCGAGGGTCATCTTCAATACTCTCTCGTCCGCGTTTGAATTCAGCAACCCACTTTTTCACAGTCGTATACGACGGAGCAGATTCCCCCAATGTTGTTGACATATCTTCGTGAATCTCTTTTGGAGTTAGTTTTTTTTAAACAGGTATTTGATGACCACAGGTTGCTCAATTTTCTCCATTCTTTAAAAATGCTGCACAAAGGCTCACAAAATGTGTCACTCCCTGGTTGTCAAATTTTTCAATTTGATACTCAGAGAGTAAATTAATCGAATGAGGTCAGTAACATTAAAATAGATTAAGTATATTTATGTTAGGCCGCGAACTTTTCAATCCACCCTAGTACATATTTAGTAATCCGTGGCGACAACCAAGGCACATAATACCACAGAGTATATTCTGTGATATTAATCTAGGTGAAAATTGAGCTCCGGAACTACCCAGTTCCGGAGTTAATATTTACTTACCCAAGTATGGAGTCACATTGTCAATTTTATTTTTCTTAATAAAATTATTAAAATATACGTAATACGTTGATATTAGTGGCCCGACAGCAATTATGAAATATTAAATTTATTGTTTGTTTATTTGCCCTTAACTACCATAAATGACCACCAGTTCAAAATTTGGAAGTCTTTCCTAAGAAGAATTGGCGAAACAAACTCCAATAAGAAATAACTCTTTATAATTTATATATTTACAGAAACAAAATAACTGTTACTTTAGGTCCTGCACTGTGTAATCTAGGTTGAGATTTATTTGACTAATTATTGGATCCAAAGACGATGGTATATGCCAACCTTCATCTCTGTTAAAAACTATTAACATTTAATCACCGATATAAGTCACTTTCAGAGAAAGTATATTTTGCTTTAAATAGTGTTGTTGTAAATAGATTTTCAAAATATGTTCATGCACGCGGCTTTGTACACCAAGATGGTTTTCAATTATTGCTCAAATTTTTGGTAAAAAATATTATAATAGTACACTACTCCATGAATGTGCTGCCTTAGAACATCGAATATTTGGCCTTCAATTTTTGAATGCCATGTTGGCGCGTGGCTTGGTTCAGAAACAAAACTCAAAAACAATAATATTTTTTTCCGCCATGACACTTCAAAGAGATAGCAGTAGAAAATAAGTCAACAAATAGACTTGATAAAAATAAATATTTTTATGATTGATTATTCTGTAAAAGAAATAAATGTGATTATATTATTAAAATAATAACCATTAAAATTCAAATGAGAGCACTAAAGTTTTCAAGTTGAAAATTTTAATCAACATAATTTTTTATCATGGCAATATTAAAAAACGAGACATATGGCCTCCGTTGTGACTATCTCTCTCGGCTCGGATTAGCTTCGATACAAAGAGCAATTAAAAGTATACTTTGAGTCATGGCAATAAGGTTTATTTTTGGAAGTACAATTTTTCGTTATTATAAATCCTGTTATAAGTATTAAATCCATGGTTTCTACTGGTTTCTACATCTACTAAGGGTATGTTCCGATATACACTGCGACCACTGAACAGTATGACGTCAATTTAGTATACTGGAAGCCCGTTCCTTTATAGCTAGTTATACTGGTGACTTTTTAAAACGGAACGCAGTCCAGTATACTGTTAATCCTATTTTTTGGCGCCATTTTCAAATTTGTTAATGCAAGGTGAATATAAATATAAAGATTCCCTCTTTTCAAAAGAAAATTGGAAAATTGTATGAAAAAATTATTTATCAATTAAATCCATCTTATAAATAAACGTAAGTATTTTTTTTTGCTTATTTAGAAACTTATCATTTTCTGATTCTGTTTCGACTGATCACGTGATCAAAAGCACTGCGAGCACCTTACGTCGAAATCTCCAGTGCTTACAGTACAATTATGGCGGTAAATTATGACGTCATAAATTTCCCTAGGGTACTGTAGCAGTGTACTGGCAGTCCATAACGGAACGGATTTTTCAGCAGTAAGACCACTGCGCAGTGCTCGCAGTGTATATCGGAACATACCCTAAGTCTGTGTTTCTACTCTATTTTTATTTACCACAGAGTAAATCTATTACAGGTTTGTCATTTTGACAAACTTTTTATTTTAATTTTAACCTCTTTGAAAAAAGAGGAATGTGCTGCAGAACCTAAATTGAAGTTTCTAAAAATCCTTACATAATTTATTAAAACAGCATATGTGTAAATACCGCTTTTGATTTGTGACAAAATTATTTCGTAAGTTACATGATGGTGGAAGGTTCAGCATTTATGCGTAATGAAGCGTTTCAGATGGCAATACGTGTTGCATTTGTGTCTGCTGTTACGTATTTCTCCATAAAGTGGTTAATGAATCAAATAGATCCCACTTCTAGAAGTCGGAAGAAAGCTGAGGAAAGAGCTAGAGAACAGTTACGCAAGTGAGTATTGATCGTGGTTATCATATACCAGAAAACCACAAATGGCTTTGCTTTAGAATATGAATGCCAGGTATTTTATTAATGTTATTTTTTAAAGATAGGGATACGAATGAGTTGTTTTATTTCCTAAAATATGAAGGCGGGAAGCATTTTTTTTGTACCCTGGGTGTAAGTAAATAATGTATAATACATGTACATTTCAGTTATTCATAAATTACTTTATTTTTCTAAATAAATGGTCAATGAACACTTTAAATTTGTCCACCAAAATCTTATTCATTTTTAAATTGGTGGGAGGTGTGGAAACAATTTATTATTTTATAGACTGGTTACATATTATATTGATTATATCTGAACTTAAATGTTTTGCAGTTTCTTTATAATATGTATTTAAACGTTACATTGAATGTGCATGTGTGAAGGGTGTCTTGCAGAGCCGGTTCCAGTGGAAAACAAGCACTAGCACTTGACAAGCTAACAGATCATGAGATGATAATTGCTTCACAGCTTGTTGTGCCAGATGAAATCAATGTAAGTTTTTATGTTGACTATTGTTATACTAATTGATCTTAGATATACACACTAATTACAGTTGCACCCAATAGTGGTTTCACAAAATAACCGAATACTGTTTGATTTAATCTTTACTAAACCAGATATTCAGCTGAATTATTGCTTGTTTATCATTCTGTTTATCATTGATTGTTTTTCTGCATAAATGGGTTTAAAAATTAATGTTAATTTAAAGTTTGATTGCCTTATTTTATTAGCTTTATTGAACATATTCTTCATAGGATTTCTTTGACTTATAATAAAACATAAATCTTACCCAAGAAATTTTGCCTTTTACTTCTATACTGTTTTGTATAGCCAAGAAAATAGAAATACTCAAACCAAATATATTCAGCACCAAAACTGAATAATTCGGCCGAATATGAAAGGTAAAAAAGATGACAAATATGCGGAACACTGAATACCAAAGAATATTTGACACATCTCTAACACTATCATTATAGTATATTTGGCATAAGCAAATATATGTATAACTTAATATCATGTATTGCTTAGGTGAGCTGGAAGGACATAGCAGGGTTGGATCACCTAATCCAGGAACTCCGTGAAACTGTTATTCTGCCGATACAGAAACGGGACCTATTTTCTGACAGCAGGCTCACGCAGCCACCCAAAGGGGTACTGCTGCATGGTCCTCCAGGTAATTTGTTGAATGTAGGTACAGTAAGATATAATGTGGCTCACCAATGTACCTATGCAGAAGGCTAAAAGAGAAAGGCAAAACTGGGCCAACTGTTGAAATGGCCTTTTACTTAATTTCTTTATTTATTTTTGTTACTAATTTTTAGTTTTGTCAATGCCGGGTATATTTTTACAGTTATATCTTGTCATATGCATATTGAAGATTTGGCTATTTTTTGGCTTTGATTTGGCTTCAAGAAAAGTGTTTGTTGATAGGGTGCGGAAAAACACTCATCGCAAAGGCGACAGCGAAAGAAGCTAATATGAGCTTCATCAACTTAGATGTGTCATTGCTCACGGACAAGTGGTATGGTGAGACACAGAAGCTGGCGGCTGCTGTGTTTAGTCTGGCTGTTAAACTACAACCTTGCATTGTATTTATAGGTAGGTTACCTTAGTTATTCAACCCATAATTTTCCGTACTTAGACGTCTTAATCGTCTATTGTACGTGAGACATATGTTGAAGCATGTGGGGGTGTATGCTCCGGGCTCAAATATCAAGGGGGGGCGTCAAAATCACCAATTGCCCGTTCTTTATTTTTTCTGCACTTTGATATGTACTTTAAAAACGAACGAACGATAAAGAATGATGATTATGGAATAGATAGTGTTACCAACTTTTAGTAATATATCCCAAATTTATCCACCAAAAGATATGTCAAAGTAGGAACATGAAATATATCGTCTTAACATCGCCAAGATGTCGTGTCTTATGGCTAAAATGTGAGCTAGAGAGTTAGACGGTCGTACCCCTGGTCTTGTGATTTTTAGAGCACAATTCACAAAAATGGATAAATGGCGCTGGCTTTTCGACGCCTATCTACCTACCTATTACTACTACGCGCTTAAAACTTTATTTTGCGTTATTGATATGTTATGTGTTAAACAAATAACTGTGGTGCTTGGTATTACTTTTGTTATGGTTTTTAGACGAAATCGAGTCGTTCCTGCGCACGCGCACGCAGCACGACCACGAGGCCACCGCCATGATGAAGACGCAGTTCATGTCGCTGTGGGACGGCCTCATCACCGACCCCTCTTGCACTGTTATCATCATGGGTATGTAGACTTGTACAAATTTTAATAGCTTTAGATTAAAAAACAATTTGTAATTTTACTTTAATAAATTATGACATTTTTTTTATTTATCTTGGAAAACCAACAGGTATCCAAACATCATATTAAAGATATAATAAACAATAAGCCAATTATAGGTTTCCGCATATAGATACACACTCATTCAAATCTCTATAAGAGGACTCTCTAGTTGGTACTTGGTACAAGCAAATTTTTTTTTGGTTATTATCTTTAGACTCAGCAAATTAGAGAAGTAAATACAAATTGAAGAAGGAATTTTACTCATCTTTTATAAAACAAACATGTATAATTTGTTCTGCGAGACAAATATCAATAAAGAATTGTACAATTAAATACTAAAGGCCAAGAGTGTGCATAAAGTAAATCTCATTAAGGTAAGTGTGAAACTAATGGGGAAATGTTAACTGCAAAAACTACATCATCTTGTTTAGAACAAGTGGGAACATTTTGTGGTGTTTTTATCTTTTATAGAACAGTTTATACGAATTCTTTCAACAGATTTCTTGATCCGTGTTTTTGTTTGGTACTAAATTATCGTTTCGAGAGTTTGATTACAATAAATGAATTCTCATCATTATCACCATATGCCTATTAATGTTCCCACTGCTGGGCCTTCCCTATGGATGGAATCGAATCGAATATTGATGAAAAAACACGCGGGCCCAGTGTGGAATGGTGGGAACGACTACAGATGCAGCCGGGACCAACGGCTTAACTTGGCTTCCGAAGCACGGAGGAGTTCGATATAATAAATTAATAAATAAACTGATATTAGGTGCGACAAATCGTCCACAAGATCTAGACAAAGCTATCCAGCGTCGTATGCCGGCAATGTTCCACGTTCCTATGCCCAGCGAACAACAACGAGACCGCATTCTGAGGTTAATACTTCACGCGGAGCCTACCGCAGAAGACGTTAGTACAAAAAATATTATCTATTTCGACCTGTTTTAATGAGGAAGTATTAAAAAAAAATATTAGTTCCCGAAATCAAACTAGATGTCGCTACGGTACGTTCTTGATTTGTCCATGACCACCCTTCCGGTTTTCTTTCATGTTTAAAAGTAAATTAGTTTTCAAAACTCAATAAACCACTCCTATTCTATTTGTAATTTTTCGTATTTGTATTGATAAAGTTTCGAACTTTCAAATTTCAGTTTTTTTATATGTTAGTTAAAAGGAACGGAAATGACTGTCTTTGGTCCATTCGTTTCCGGCAAAAATCAACCTTTGCTAGAGTCGCCATCTAGTGGAGGTGCTTTTTTAGTGCTTTCGTTTTTTTTTTAATACTTCCTCATTGTAATTAAATCCATAAATTAAACAACTTTTAAGCGGTTACATCGCCTCTGTATTTAGTTTTATCGACAAAGTTTTTGCAGATTACACAAAATGAAATCAAATATTTAACATTTTATATAGAGACGAAAACGCTTTGTAAATGGACATCACAATGATGACATCACAAGCTAGTAAATATGGCTTCCTGTTGACGGTTTTAGTTTGATGAGGTTTGTTTATTTACTTGCATGTGACGTCATGGCGGAGTATGACAGACACAGCGTTTTTCGCGCGGTTTCTGAAATTTCAACTTTAATTTTGATTTTTATTGATAAATACACATATATTTCCCCGAAATATTAACGTAATGTGTTTATCATGTAAAAAATAATAATTTAAACTATTTTTCAAATTTAGTGACATACTTTTGTCTGTCTCTGTCAATCGCGTCAGTCCTTTGTTTACTTATTTTAAACATATTGATTAAGGCACTGCTCCTATTCTATTGTATTCTGTGTTTGTAATATCATGTTATAGTATATGAAAATTATTATGTTTGTGTACTTCAAATAATATTATTATATTACCATCAGATTGACTTCAGTCGTCTGGCTATGGCGACGGAAGGATTCTCGGGTTCAGACTTGCACGAGCTATGTCGACAGGCGGCCGTGTACCGCGTCAGAGATCTAGCGAGGCAACAACTTGATCAGGTATACTAGACTAGCTGTTTTCAAGCAACTTTGCCTACGCAAATAGGAATGATGACTGGATAAAAAAAAAGAAATTCTATTTAGTCCGTCAGTTAGATAATAGAAAAGTATTAGACACTGTATTTTTTTTTATTTCTATATAACAAGAAATAGCTTAGATTACAGGCATTAGAGTTGAGGAGTGGGGGCTTGCTACGTCACAGTTTTGTAGAAAATGTACAAAGCGTGTCGTCATGTGACTTTTTTACTCAATGTATCGCCGTTATTTTATTATGACGCAAAAAATAAAAAAATACGTGTTTAATATTTTTCACCCATCTACCAGATGGACAAAAAACATAGTTGTCATCCCTATTATAGCCTACTCATAGCCTAGCATATGTTAAATGTGATTTCACAAGTAATTTGTTTGTTTAATTTTTATAATTTAAAACAACATAATAAACATTTTATTCAATTATGAATACCATTCTGTATTTTAAAAATTGTTGCCAGCAACTACGGATAATTATCAGATATTTATCGGATAATAGGGAATATGCACATTTTTGGAAAATGTTTTTTATGATAATTTACATCGATATATAACTGTAAAAAATATCCGGCACAGAAAAACTAAAATTTTGTAACATTAATCATTGATGAAAATAAGTAACAGCTACGAGCAGTTTAAACACCGGAATTTTTGGCGCGTTCGTCGTGACGTCAAAGTACACGACTAGAGATATGACATTTTAAATCAATATGGATTTTGAGTGATTGATTATGATTCAATTAACCGAATCGATTAACAACTAATCGATTTTTTAAAGTATAATAGACTTTTTTATTAAATCATATTGTTTACCAAATTGGTGAAATAAAAATAAAAGCCTAAAACATCATTTTAATTGTAAACAGTTGTTTATTTTGCGACATAATACATTGATGTTAAGTTTTTGTAACAACGATATCCCTATACGTGTACATTTTCGTCACATCCGCTCTGTCCGGACAATATTCCCTATTGTCCAAAAATAATATTATTTTGATAATCACAAACTCTGGTTTAAATAAATAACAAATTTTCAGAGCAATGATTCACAACAGTCAAACAATACGGACTCTGAAGACGAATTCGTGGATGCCGTACGACCAATCACGATGGATGACCTCAGACTATCATTAGGCAAGCTGAAAGAGTCCAAAATACAATGCGGCACTTTACCACCAAGTATGCGGATAGAACTTGATTAGTAGCCACGAGTCGAGCGATTTTGAATCTTAGTTGCGTTTTGTGACATACAAGATTTTCATGATTATGAAGAGTTTTAGTTATTCTTTATTAAAATAGAGCTCATGTCGACTCTAATGGTACCATAAAATGGAATTTACTTTTGTTAAATTTGTTTGCGTTCATAAACTCCAATTTTAACTGGGTTTAACAATCTCAAAGATTGCTTTAGGTAGGTTATTAGGAAGATTATATGTTTGAAGCTTTTGATAGAACAAAATAAATTTGAGGTTACAGCTTTTATATGTTATCAATTTATCAAGTGACAACAATTATTATCTTATGTACTATAATTTCTTTTTTCTACAAAAGTTCAAGATTTTCTACATAAAATTTAGATTGTTTGATTTTACAGAAAACAGTGAAGTGAATGTAATACTGATCCAAAATGACATATTGACCAGTAATATTATTAAAAATCTAATTTTATCATATCAAGAATAACAACATATTTTTGATAGATATTGAGTTACAATTAAAAGAAAATATTAATACAGCAAAATAATATTATACATAAATTATTTACAAAAGGAAACCGTAATGTAGTTCAAATAATTATTATAACAAAGTTTTCTTTTTTAACAGTCTTGTCACTAATTTTTTACATTTTTATTTTGAGAATTTACTATCATTCTAATAATGGGGGTACTTTGGTTTGACCACGGTCGTAACTCCATTACGAATCACGTAAGTTACCAATTAATCTAATTATTAGCCCTAATAAATAGATTTATCACAACTTAAAATTCTACTTTAACCATTCACTTCAAATATTAAATCAAAATAAAGAATTGAAAATTATAAATAGTAATAGACAGGAAGAAGTTATTGTATGTACCAATTTCTTCTTGTCTATGTAAGTAAATAATTTATACTCTTATATTTTTTTTAGTGACAGAGTAGTGTTTAGAGGAAAACTTGTTAAAATTATTAAATTGAAATTTATCTTACCGTTAGTTCGGATTACTGTTAAAGAGAAGCTAATTAAAATATTACATTGTGTATTATACTCCGTTTCCACGTGATAAATATAATGTTGGAAAGATGACAGACGCTAATAATAAAATTGAACTTTACTGTATGGAGATAGAAATCAAAGTATTGTTTAATTAGTTTCCCTTAGATGGTATAGGTACTCTATAAAACAGAATAGGACTTATCTATTGTTGCCATGCTTTAAACTTTTAAATGTTTTATAAGAATGAGAAAATTAAATACGTAGTCGGTTAAAACTTACCTACTACTATAAATAATTGTCATTAAAATATTAGTAATAATTAACTTATGGTGTCCTCTTCAGTGTCACTAATTTATTAAGTGCTTATTAGATTAGGAAAGATAAATATTTAATTAATAATTTTATTTGTTTTAAACACAAAGACAGCAATAAATTATTTGTAACCTATAGTTATTACATTATAAACAATATGGTTCATTTATATTAGTCGTTTATATTAGAGTTCAATTGAAAGCCAATAGTCAAACTGACACTTATCTATATCTATACTAATCAAATACTGTAACTGTTAATTAAATTTCCACGCACATTATTTTAATAAAACACCTAGAAAGAGTTCTAATGTGACATTTACTTTCATGTTAAACATATTTGTTAGGTTTGAATTCCTTAGAATATGGTCATTGAATACACATATGTGTATCTACGGTCGCTTCTTGATATGACCAATAAAAATAAATTTGTTGATATGCTTTACGCGCTTCAGGGTTCCTTATATATTGTTTTATTATAATTTTGCAATTTTTTTAATATTTGTCTTTTTATTGTGAACGCTCAAGCCGAAGTAAACCTAATTATGTGAGTAGATATGTGCATTTGTTAGGTTTATATTGTATAATAATAACGGATTATAAGGAGTTTGCCAAAATGTGGGCGTGGCATAAAATCTCTCGTGTGTTATTAGTTGGCCACTTGACCATTTTGGAATGAGTATTATAAAACTTTCATGTAAAACTACCCTCAGATTTGTTTTTATACAAAAAGTGGTATTAAAATTTTTATTCATTAATTTACGGTCCCGCAGAAACATTCAGCCACGTGAAATTTCGCGGCGTGACGTCACATTTCAGTGTACATGAGTACTGGTTGCAGTCGTGACATGTTGATGTTGGGTTTATTGAATTGTGACGTCACACGATACTCCGTGATGGCCGTCCGCGTTTCGGTTTTTGTAGTCCACAGGTTATAAATCACAAGTTAATTTTGTAAAAATATAATATACTTACAATTTAATTTAAAACAAGAAAAGTAATACATGTTTACCTATAATAATACCATTTTAAACATATTATTGCATAATTTATTGTTACTAACTGTCAAGTCAAGTAGCCAATAAATATGTAATAGTTGAAAATAGTTGAAAACACTGTTTGACGAAACATTAAATAGTTTGAAGGCTTTACAGCTAATCTACTCTATCAGCTCTATTAATAACGCTTTCTACATTCTGAATAGGAGCCATCCATTTCTTAGGTACGTAAAACGATTTAAAAAGTGGACTTCTACTATGTATTATTATTTCTTATAATTGGAACCAAGATTCCCAGGTAGTTCTTACTTGAAAGCGAAAGCACGAAAACTTGCAGTTGTATCTACAAACCAAATGCCCCCAAAAATGATGAAATAATATAAAAAATATTACGTTTTCTTTAGATTCTTCAGAAATGGATGACACCAATAAGCGTGTTGTGAAACTATTAATACAATTATTACGTTAGGTGCGGGCTGTGTTTAAATTTTTAAGTATGAGGCAACTGACATCGGTAGTGGTCAAAAGATTTGTTTCTAAAAGGTATGTTAACTCGATAAATTCGCAGTCTGTATTGTCTGTACAACACTGTCTGTACAACTCTCAATATTTATTCATAAACAAATTAGTCTCAACATTTAAAAACGATTGGTAGGAAACACACATTTGTTTCCTTGGTCTGCCTTTATTTTCTCTATGTGAGTGACAGTTAAAACACAATCGTTTACTTGAACAGTATTATGAATTTATGAATACTAAGAAACATTGCTAAAAACGTAGTTTGAATGAGTTACAATTTTCATTTAATAAATTTTCAAGACCATCTATTAAAAGTAGAACCTAGTAAAGAGAGGCTACAGTGATATATTAGTTTAGAAAAATAGACTATGAAAATAAAAGTTTTGAAACTAGACTATGAAAAAAAAATGGAAGCAAGTGCTAGAGAAAGTAAAACTAGATGGCGCTGCATTCAACAATTTTCATATACATAATAGAAAACCGATGTCAATTGTTACGTTGGTTATAAATTTTACATTATGTTAATACGTTTGTTTTAGCTATTTGTATGAGTCAAATTATTGTTAAAGTTATTATTAAATAAAATTTGTATTAAGGCTTCTTGTATGACGTCAATATATTTCGCACGCTTTATCATAAAAAGAAATTTGCAATATTAGAAATTCAATCTTTGGCCATCACAATGTAAAGTTTGCAATTTATAGTTTTATTTTTTCTACTTCGATTGCAAACAGTTTTTTAGACTGAAGACTGATTTGTCATTGATATAGATCCGATATATACGCCATAGCATTTAATGCATTGTCTTATTAAACTACTTAATATCTTTTACACGTTACTTGTATCAGCTCTATGTAACTTGAATAAGGTTGATATTTAAATAACATCATTTTGAGGATAAGTGGGACAATGACCATGTTGCTTTTATGTATGTTAAAAACCCAAAAGAGAAATTGGTTTAATAAAATCAGTAACCTCATTATTTTTTTAAATTAATTTTTAGACTTGTGTAATAAATGCAATGTTGAATTTTTATTGAGTTTGGTTGTAAAGGAGGTGAGACGATAAGGGCTAATTTTTGCTTGATGTCACATATATTTTATTTTATAGTAACACGTCAACACAAAAAGATAAAACCCTCATTTTGGTTCAAATTTCTGGGACTTGCTATATTATTTATTGTGAAAATTAGAATAAATAAAAAAATACACATCCTTAACTAAACAAGTTTTATTTTTCGATGGGCGGAAATGTTCTGTTATCGGCCCTCCTCTTGATTGCGATTTCATATACATATTACTTTTTTCGTTAATTAATTTTCATCTAAAAGACCACAAGATTTAAAAGGGTTTTAGTTGTTATTATAATTTTTGTAGCGATATATAAATAAGACTTTATATATAATTTGGTCTATTCAATAACAACTTAAATTATTATACAACGGTGTGTACCTGAAATTTGGTTGTTTTATTGAAAATATTTGCAAGTTTGAATTGGTGTAAAATATTAAATGAAAGATTGAAATATTTATCACATAAAAATATGTATAATTGTGTATTCTGCAATAATGTACACAACTCTTGAGGTTACTGCGATGAAATCGCCTCTTTTTAGTGTGTTTGATTGGAAAGAGATAGCGTATATACCTTTGTAGATAGTTAAAGTTACTATAATTAAAACTTCGAGATACTGTTCAAAAAGCGTTAGTTCGTTGTTTGGTGATGCGATTATATTTATTGTGTAAATAAAAAGAATATAAATATAATTATTTGTATTTTATTTAATATATCCTGTTTTCCGTTTATATGTTACATCTTTTTTTTATTATTATATACTTATAACTATACAGTCATCGCTTAATTTAAGTAATATTTAAACAAGTTATTTTCTTACAATTATTTTAAATAAACTATAATGTCTACTGTAAATGTCCGAAACAATAAAAAATATAAAAGTTACAGGAGTCTACAGCCTTATGAGACAATAGAGCCAAAACGCGCAATCTATAATATTTTCATATAGTTACGTATATATCTATATATTAAGTTACAAATTATATTTAATTGTTGGCACTCATTTATTGTGTCTATGAAAAAGGCACGAATAACATTCGATAACTATAACTGAGCCTTGGATTACTGTGAGCACATTAAACTCGCCAGCTAATCCAATTCTGTTACAAACGTATAAACCATTGTTTGTAAAAAATACATTTATTGAAATATCAAGAGACCATATAGGCTATTCTCTTTTGTTTGTACGGATTATAGATTTACCAGATTTAGCCAGTTGCACAAACGTCTATTAAAATTTTCATTAGTTTAAAGCGATATTACCCATACAAATTTGACATTCATTAGAGTTTAAAGACGTCATTAAACCTAATGGACGTTTGTGCAACTGACTGTGAATCTATAAAACGGATAGCCATTTATTCAATATAGGAATTCGTAAAACTTCGTAAAATTATAATGATAGGAATTCGTAAAACTGGATTGAGAATTGTGCAAAATAATCTCTGATATTTTTACATCAGGGTTTTTCTTACTTAAGGGCCTATATTGCGTTAGCGAGTGGATGCCCGCAACGGGAAAACGTCGCGCGATTCCGCTCTTGGACACGCGTGCGTATTTCCTGGCAAAGTGACTGTCTGCTAGTGGCGTAACTATACCGTGTGTGATCCGTGGCAAATTCATCAGAAATTCTATTTTTTTTACTAATTGTGTAATAATAAATGTCAGGAGTAAGGAGTCTCGTCTGACCGGTGGCCCGTGGCATTGTGCCGACTTGCCACCCTATAGTTACGCCACTGGTCTTTTGGAACATTCAGTTTAAAACTAATATAAATTTATCCAAGCATGCGACTCACATCACATAGTATTAAACCCGTACATGCTGCCACAGGCGGGCGTGCGGGCGAGGGCGGATCCAGGGGGGTGGTCACGGGGCCCCCTGGCCTGGTGGCAAAGCTATATATGCCCTTGCGTGCGGGTGACCGTTATGGGGAAGTGGGCCACAACAATTGTGTTCTGTGTTCACAACTCCAAAAGACACGGATACGGGATTCGCCTCCCCGCGTTGCAGCACTTTAGAATGGAACCGAGCGGGCGTCAATTTAATGCAGTTAGGCTCTAAAAATTCTGATCTCCAATCACACCCACAGAAAGGGACATAGGTGCAATCAAGTTATAATTATCTATTAAATGAAAGCCTAAAGTTAGTGATATATCTATAATTTTTGTCACATTCGGTTTCCCCTATAAAAGTTAGTTTTCTTCCGTTTTCTTGGCTTTGTCTTCTTTCCTCTCTTCTTCCGACGCGTATATTTGCTATTCTGTCTCGTCTTTTGCGGCCACTGACGAAGCACACTATCGCGTAGCAACTGCAACAAGCCTGTGAAATATTAATATCTTAAGCAATTGTTGTCAATTCTGTATTACTACTAAAAACTAATTTGCCTTTGTTTTAACGTTATTACTTAAAGACATGTAATGAAAGAATTATTGTTACTATTGGTATTCCAGTTGTTTACAGAATTTAAGAAGTTAGGATTTAAGTAATCTACCTAGCTTGTGCCTACCTAGTTTGTGCTATAGTATTGCTACTAATAAAAATTAGTTAAATTTAAAATGACTTGTCTCAGCGATCGAAGATGTTTTTTAGACATGAGTTTTTACATAAACTAATGAGTTATTGTCACGATAAGACAACTAAAGACTAAGATTACACTGCAATAAGTATAATAATTTTAGATACTAACGTGATGTCCCGATTACTTAGGACATTGTGAAGTATTTTATTTATTTAGAGACTGAATAAAATTATCATGATAGAGCTTTCAGCAAAACTTACCACTGGACCAGTTTACTTAGCTTTGGTATGTTTTTCATTTTGTCATGCAACACACCTGAACATAGAAATTCGCAGAGTCATAGGTAAATAATACTTCAAAACACCAAAATGTAAGATTTGTTTTCGGATAATAAAATCATTCATTTTACATGCAAAATAAAAATCAGAACCTCACGCAACCTCACAAAACTTACATGGGCTTCAGCATAATTATAGAATAAAAATTTTAGTTAAACCTTTCTGTCATTATCTATAAAGTAAAAAAAAAAATACGAAAAAAGGGCGCTTCATAACTTGACTGATCTGCAGAAAAAAGCGCGTGTTGAAAAATCGGTACAGAAATAAAGGAATATTGGATCGAATTGTGACACGTGATGAAAAGTGGATTCTTTATGATAACCGTAAAAGAAAATTGTAATGGCTGACCCCAGGTCAAAGGCGACAATAGGGTCCTAAAGTTAAACTTACTAATAAAAAGGTAATGGCAGTGGCGTAGCTACCAAGGGGCTAGGCGGGGCAGTGCCCCGGGGCCCTCAAGCTCAGGGGGCCCTCGAATCTTTACCAGAAAATCTCAATCGAACTCAATTTTTGAAAATTTCACCTATTTTCAAAATAAATATGACAGGTGACAACTCGAATTTAATCATGGCAACTCAGTTGTGAGAAATTCCAAAGTTATAAGTATGTGTGGGTTGACAGTGTTGCGGTAGGGGGCCGTCCATTAATTACGTGATGCTTTTTTGTCATTTTTTAAACTGTCAAATGTGGTAACACTAGCGGCGATAAAATGTTTGCCGGGGATTTCCCAATGACGTCTTGTATCGTATCATTACGTTTCGCTTTCCTTTTACTTGTAACGTTGTCAGTGAACAGTAAGTATCTACTTGAGTACAATCTTACATAAATATTGCATAAATAAATTAGAAAACTAATATTATGGACAAAAAAAAGAAGGTGCATTTAAACATAAACAACGCCAAGAAAGAGGAGAAAGTAAACAAAAATTGCCCAAAATTGACAAGATTTTTAGTCAGCCTTCTGCAAGTACTTCTGGACAAAATATTTCTATTGATAATTTGTGTAAATAGATTACATGGCGATAGGTTAAATAACAGTAAGCTGGTGCAACGTATCTATGAACAAATAAATATATAATACGTCTATTGCCAAATTACAACCTTTCTAAATCAAAATCGCCTCCTCAACCCCTTTCAATCTGGTTTTCGTACAGGCCACAGCACAAATACTGCATTGGCTAAAATTGCAGATGACATCCGACATGGGATGGAAAATCACCAGCTGACATTGTTGACATTGCTCGATTTCAGTGATGCCTTTAATTATGTTGATTTTGACATCCTTCTCGGTATTCTGCGTTCTCTGAACATATCTCCAGCGGCAATTACTTGGTTTTAAAGTTACCTGCTAGGCCGCCGGTAGCGTATTCGTGGAGAAGGCAATTTTTCCACGTGGTGTAGTCTCATTGCCGGCGCTCCTCAGGGTGGCGTCTTATCTCCTCTACTTTTCTGTGTTTTTATAAATTCAATCACTCACTCACTTTCTAGTTCCTATCATCTCTACGCTGACGATCTGCAGATTTACACTCAAGCTTCGCTCTCAAACCTTTCCGATGCGGTTATGGTTACTAATAATGACCTCTCACTTATCTGTAGCTGAAGTAAGTCTTTTGGGCTTACTGTAAATCCCTCAAAAACACAGACTATAATAATCGGAAGTTCACATTTCGTTTCGAGCATTGATTTTTAACATCTCCCGTCAGTTTCTTTCGATTGCACTACCATTCCTTACTCGAGTATGATCAGAAATCTTGGTATCATATATGACCAGTGTTTAACATGGAAGCCTCAAATAGATGCACTGATAAAAAAGTGTTTGCTGCGTACTATTCGCTTAATCGACTTCGAAATTTCCTACCAACAAAAACTAAAATCACGCTTGCGCAAACTCTCCTACTTTCCATCATTGACTACGCTGATGTTTGCTATACTGATCTTACCGAGGAACTCCTTAACAAATTAGAGCGTCTAATTTGTTAAGGTGCTAATTTATTTTTAATCTTCGCAAATATGACCATGTGTCGCATTTCCGCTCAAAACTTAACTGGCACCCTATTCGCCGGCGCAGGGACTTACACACTCTTACGCTTCTCTATTTTGTTCTTTTCTTGCCCATGTCTCCACTCTACTTAATTTTTTTTTCCTTTCGCAACTCCTCATCCAGATCACAGTGTATTCTGCGGTCTGCCTCAAACCTGAAACTTGATATCCCTTCTCACTCTTCTGACTTCCTATCCTATTCTTTTTCTGTTCAAGCTGTTCGGCTTTGGAACTCGTTACCAGAAAGTATTAGGAAGTCTCGCATCTTGCGATCTTTCGTCGCAGAAGTAAAATGCCCCTTTCTCTCCAGCTTTTAACTCTCTCTTTCATGATTATCTATTTTTCTCTTTATGTATATCTATTTAATTCCTGTCGCTATTGCACCTACTACCCATCATCATTCATTATTATTTATTTATGTTTCTATATTACCATTGGTTGCCTGGAAGAGATTGCTGCATAGCAATAAGGCCGCCTTTTGTGTACTGTCTGACCTTTTTTTTCTTTGTAATGTGTTCTATATTTGTGCAATTAAGAATATTATTATTATTATTAATAAACCCTTGAATCTTTTTTATTTCGTTTTATTGCTTAATACCTACACAAAGTATAAAAATAATTGTAATTTATGTTGTTAGTGTTTAATAGTTTTATTACCTGCTCATGCACGAAAAAGAGCTGATGATAAAATTACGTAGCATTTTTTAAGTATTTGTATATTTAATGATTTTACTTCAAAAAACCTTACAAGTTTTGATAGCAGTGGGCCCCATTTTTTTATTTGCCCCAGGGCCCTAGACTACCTAGCTACGCCACTGCTGATCACAACCTTTTTTGAAGGTGGATCCACTATTGGTTGCAACTACTTATAAACTTATATTGTGTTCACTGCGCATGTACATACATGTACTCGGTAAAAGTTAACCAAAACTCAAAATTTATTCAAACAATTTAGACGCATTACTCGTGACAAAAATGTGCAAGAACTCTCTAAAGCTTGATACTTCAGTGTAATGAAATACTAAGTACCCAGTGTGGGTTACTTTAAAGTGTAATGATTTTCTTTTAATAAATGTGATGTGACACAATTTTTTGTACTACCTAAATAAAACGTGGTTATAAGTTAAATAAAAGTTACCAGATGAAAAAATCAAAAGTCCAGAGAAAAGGTCTGATTTCCATTGAAAAATACTGAGATTTTGTTGTCATACTGCAACAAAAATTTTCTCTCAAACATATGTTACATTCAATAATTCAATTTATTATTGTTTTCTTAACTTTCCATCTTTAAAATGAACTAGCAAATCCGACCGCAATCCTGAGATATAGTTGGACAATTGCACTGGACTGCCGTCCCTTGCAGTTAGTGTGTTACAATCTAGTCTGCCTCCCATCCAGGTTAATGAATTGTTAGGGTTCGTTTAAAAAAGGTAACAACACCCAGACCCGAGACAATAGATAAAAGTGCATTTACTACATTGGCCCGACCGGAAATTGAAACTGGGACGTCCGAGATTTATTTTATTAGTAACTGTTTCACATAAATGCAATTCACGTTTAGGTTGACATTAGATACGTAGATACCTACTTATGCATGATTTCTACGACAATTTACCAATCATAATCATTTTTAGCCAATATAAGACTAACTTAACAGTTTTTGACTGACTATCGTAAAATGACATGATTTAAATTTTTATAAAATTTGAATCGCACTAAGAGGGCGCATATACCAAGAACTATCAATTTATTTGGTTGTCTACATCCATATAAATGTTATTAAAACTGAGAAAACAACAATATATTTCTAAGGGTTTTTTTTTCTGTTAAAACGTGAATTTTTAGATTTTTTCGACAAATAATATCACAAACTTCAGTACGTCTCCTCTGAAATTCTCAATTGTTAATTGCTTTCCTTATATATTTTTTAATAATAGCCTTTTGCCTTAATGTTCATTCTTATAAATTCTATCAAAATTGTCTTTGCGTTATCTTTAAATGCAAGTAGTTGTGATAATATCTTTAACTACTTTAAAATCATTGACGATTTGTTTGTTATCAATTCGAACTGTAGCAAATTTTATTCAAGCACTTACATAAAATATGTTTCATCACTCGAGATTACCATATCTCATATCACTCAAGTCGTGTACGTATAATGGAATAACTCTTTCAAGGAAACAATGAATACGAGGATCACGTACCCGATGCGTCACTTTCACAAAACAATAGAATTTTTGCGGTGAGCCCAGCCCTTATTTGAAATTCAATTTGTGTATTCAAATTTTTATGAGAGTGCTTATTAATATGGATCGGGTCGATCCTATTAACGGTCGATTTAAGCGCCATGTCGAAATTAGAAAGCACTTAGTCACGACTGACATTAGAGTAGATCTGTTTACACTTGAAATACTAGACCTAACATTGATTGGTCATCGGCATTGAAAAAAATATGTACAATATTCTTCATACAAAAGCAATTCTAAAGTTAGACGCTACTATTCTGAGATACTGTATCAGGAAAAAAAATATCGTATTGGATAAAACAGGGACAAATAAAGACTTCTGTAACAATTTAAATTTGTATTTTTGGTTATTTCTGCAAACATCGTTGACACTCAAACTTGAACTCACAAAAATCCAGTGACTTAAAAATACTGTACAATTTTATAAATAAAATATACTACATACCTACTCATGTCCGTGCTATCAGATCACATTTTGAATAACAAATAACACGCGGACATATAATTTAAATGCATAAAATACTTTTGTGTGATTCATTTATTACCTTTACTTTTCCATAAACTACCAATGCACTTCGTCAATAGCATTTATTTTGTTGTCATTCTCATCGAGTTCCTTACCTTGTTGATTATCGAAGTATCCGTGCTTTAAATAAGTTAGTAGCGGCGATGGTATGTCGCTGTATCCATTACTGAGATCTTCGTCTATACTATTACCAGTTGCTAGTCCAATTGATATATCTGAACAAGCACCGAATTGTTCCTGATTTCCGCATCCTAGACCTGCTGTGCCGTTCTTACAAGTACCCCAATTGTTTCCAGCTGTATACCTCCACTGCAAGACACAGTGGTCACATACTACACCTTGTGGCAATCTGTAGTTAAGAGTATATTTTGTGCTTCCTTTCTTAGGGTAGTAGACTGTGTCACCATTCTCTAACTGTAAAGGGTATCGGTCAAAACACTTTTGGTCGTTGTCCCTTGGATCAGGGCATAGCTTGAACTGCCAAAAGCCGAGGTGTGAGGTGGTGAGCTCGACGGTGACAGTGATCTCTTCACCGGGCAGGTAATAGCCTACTATCTCTCCAGAGCCAAACACTCCGCCGAGCTCGTGAGGACGCGGCTCCGGTAGATCAAAAGCATCACCGCATATGCCGCATCTAGAGAAGTGAAAGGAGTTTATTTGTTATTTCAATACTTTTTTTGTTGCGACTTTCAAACAACAGAGACACGTTAACTTTATGAGAAATACAAAATTTTAAGGTAGGAAATTATTACTGTCTTCAGGGATTCGCGAGATATCAGTAAAAGTATATGCATAGGTATCTTTTTTAATAATGACCAAAGAGGACACCATAGTCGTATCTCACAACAGTTTGTTTTGTTATGATCAGTGACATACGACTACGCTGTCCAATGTTCATCACTATTATAAGATAGCAATCGCTATAAAATAAATTTCTTTTTTCAAACTTTTTTGAGCGTGATTTAGCTGTAGTCGGGTTTTAGTTTTTGAACTATTTCCTTTAATAATTATTTTTATTTGTATATGATAAATCTGTTCTGAAAACATAGACACCCTAAGAAGTGATGGTGTTTCAAATACAAAAAAAACCACGTTCAAGCTAAGGGATTTTGGTAAATGAGTCCGTTATTTATAAAGCGACAAGCACTTACTTGCCCTCATTGATAGACCACTGATAGTAAAGACCTCCGCAGTTAACACCGTCGTCGTCGTAATCAGGTGCTGTCTGATGTCCCACGCGCCAGGCTGATGCACGCGATACCGGCTGCAGTACCCTTCCGTGACCCCACACATCAGACAAATAAGCCGTCAGTGCTAAGATGGCCAACCACATCTAGGAATTGAATAATTGGAAATTTATAATGTCTGTTTATTAAGAACTGGCGGCTAACTGGTAAATATAAAGAGGTACACGATTAGTGTTTCCAGATGAAAAAAATCAAAATTCCAGTTCTATTTTAGCTGGAATTGTATCGTATGTCACTTAGTAGAAAAACCATTAAAAACTGTAGTTTCGTTCGGTTTCGATCCGTTTTCGATTCGATTTAAACAAAATTTATTTAATCGAATCGAAAATGGATCGGAAACAGATCGAAACCGACCGAAACTACAGTTTTTAATGGTTTTTCTATTCTACTAAGTGACAATTCCAGCTAAAATAGATCTGGAATTGTATCGTATGTCACTATGTAGAATAGGAAAACAATTAAAAACTGTAGTTTCGTTCAGTTTCGATCCGTTTTCGATTCGATTTAAACAAAACTTATTTAGTAGAATTGGCTCCCTGATTTCCGTTGAAAAACCCTAAGATTTTATTGCAGTTTAAGATTTATCTCTCAAACATACTAACCAATTTTAAAAAGTTAAATCATTATCGTTTTCATACACTGCGGATCTCGGCGGGTCATTTTTTGTTTGTATAACGTTGAATTTAAAGAGATCTTGACAATGTGCTATTTTTTATTAAGAATTCGAAAATTCCTTAGATTTCCTGAGATTTGCAAAATCCGACCGCAATCCTGAGAAGACTCCAAAAATCCTGAGTTTTCAGGACAAATCCTGACTTTTTAGGTCAAATCCTGAGTTATGGTAACCCTATACACGACCAACATACAAAAACACTTCTGAAAAGCATATTTTCAGTCTGTAGGACGGTTGTGTATGGCTGTGCCAAGCACCACTTGTTGGTCATCTGCGACGAATATCTTATTTGGCACCCTGAGATGGGATGAGACGCTCTGTAGTGGCGAAAAGTAATATGTGCTTGAAAGATTCGTCAGTACTGTAAGGTCCTGGGTAGCTCAAATATCTTATTTTCTTATAACTGTTTACTTTCCAATAATTCAACAATGCTTTGACTTCATACCTAACATAAACTAATTGATCAAAAGTTAACTACGATAATACCTACATAGTAGGTAAATATTGATATAAAAATTCTGTATTAAAACTAATTATTTAATCTTTCATAGATGGTTTTTAAAGGTTAGGTTATTTATCTATTAATGAGGTTAAACAAGATTTTATGTAACATTATTATTATTTATAATTGATACTGGCAAGGCTAATTTGATAAAACACTTTAATTATTATTGATTTTTTTTAAACTTTATCCAGTATTAATGTAAAATTTTCAAATGTTACCTTGTTTTAAAAGCTTTAGAAGGGTTTCAAGTTAATGCTTTTTTTTTGGAAAAAAATAATTTCACCAATATTCATTTGTTCGAGTATATTAGACATCAACGGAGAAATTACGTTTTTAAAATCGACTCAGTTTTTAGATAACTATGTATACGAACGTAAACTGCCTTGCTCATTTTTGTAGGTGCGTGCGTTAACCTGCCTGGAATGACAAATGTTTATTTACTAACTTCGCAGTATGAACCAAGTGCGCTTAAACATTAATTTTAAATTGTTTTTGAGAAAATAAATAAATTCCAAATAAATTGTAATTAATATTGAAGGACTAATTCATATAGGTATTGGAATATCAATTGCACCATAACTAGAATTTCATTATTCGTTGCCAAATATAAAAAGTTCTTTAGTATATACGTGTAGTTATTAAAACGAAACTTTTCAATACTCTTTATACTAGCTGACCCGGCCAACTTCATACCGACTTATACCCGTTTAAAAAAAATCTTATATACAAACCGTAGAACACATAAAAAATAGAATCATCTAATTTGCTGCGGAAATCGGAAGTAGTAGCTCGCCCGAACATTTTTAATTTTATAACGATAACTACGATACTCATTAGTAATTATTTTTTTTAATTTAATCTAAAAGGCAATTTTGATCTACATTATTTTTACGAATAAGGATTAATACTTAAAATAGGTTCGTGTTTGTGATTGATTTTACTGTTTTTCTTTTTTTTTTTTATTCTAGTTAGGCAAGCACTTGACCACAGATCACCTGACGGTAAGCAATGCAGTGGTCTAAGATGGAGCGTGCTTGCCTAGAAGGAACCGATTCACTCTTGACTTGAAGAGTCCCAGGGGCTCTATTTTTGAATCATTCGTCTCGCGTCGAGCGCTCGTTTTCTACTATCACTCGTATACAGAGTTCACTAATCGACGAGTGGTTCATACCACTCGTTGCAGTCGAGCGATTTAGAAATTGCGAATTTGTTAAGTCGAACGAAAATCAGTAGAAAACGAGCGCTCGACGCGAGACGAATGATTCAAAAATAAAGCCCCAGATTGTATTTGCCCGGAAACAGCGAGTCCGGTAGCGAATTCCACAGCTTCGCAGTTCGCACGATGAATGTAGAGGCGAATCGTTTGGTGCGAGTTTGTGGAATCTCCACAGTAAAGCGGTGATGCTTCCCAGTACCCCTGGTTGTACGATAATAAAAAGGGGATGATGGAATTAAGTCGTGTAATTCCGATGCACACTCGCCGAAATGTAACCTATTTTACGTAAAAATTTACGTAAAAAATTGTTATTGTGGGCTATCCTTGGAATATAGACATATACCACCGCGGACTTTTTTGTAGATCTATTATAGAGGTACAATTCCACTATACAATGTTTTGTTATAACTCAAAAGTTTTTGGCAGCGTTTTCAAGGAAAGTTTCCGATCGGCTTTATTTTTCCGACAAGTTGAACTAAAATCGTTGTAATATCGTCAGTTTATACAAAACCTAAACTTACTATACACTAAAACCTTCCTTTTGAATCAGCCTATCTATAAAAAAAACCGTATCAAAATCCGTTGCGTAGTTTATAGGGACAGAGAAAGCGACTTTGACTTTTTTATACTATGTAGTAACTATTTCGGTGAAAAATAGTCAGGTTAGTAGTTAATTTTACCCGACCACGACGAAGCGAAAAGGAGGTTTATAATTTTGACCTGCATGTATGTAAGAATGTTCACCTGTTCCCTTATAACTTCGAAACTACTCATCATAATTAGAGAGATGAGCAATCATAAGAAGCGTCTTAGTTGTCCGCGTGCAATTGGCTATCGGTCATTAAGGTTTTATGACGCTTTTAAGTTATAACAATGAATGGATAATGCCGCTTTAAACTAATGACAATTATAATGAACGTCTGTGCAACTGGCTGTATGTGACGTTACACTTACTTTATCCTCTAGAGAGCATAAAGTAAGAAACTAAAAAAATATATTATTCAACCATTCCGTGTAGGGTATAAAAAGAAAGGGCTTAATTAGCACATAGTAAATTTACATATATATAAAATAAAATTACATATATATTTACATTGATAGCCTTTGCTTACAATTTTCCTTAAATATGTCCGAAAATAAAAAAATAAGTTCAACGCTATTATAATATAGCTATCGCTAGGCCATGACCCTCCACGCGGGCCCTATGCGGATTAGAGGGTATTAACGACTGCAGACGCAGCTGGGACCAACGGTATAACGTGCCTTGCGTAGCACGAAGTAGCTCGAGATAAACATTTTTGGTCACCCATCCCGTGACGGACGGCGCGGCGCTTATCCACTACGACACCGAGCTACTTGATTATATAAAAATGTAATTCTTTACTCGCCATTTAACTTCTTTAATTTTTCAAATATGAACAAAAATATCATACGTGATCGAATCAAGAGTTAATATTTATGTATTTATATTTGAAAATAGCCTTCGATTGCATTAGACGTACTTCACCATAGAATAGAAATGTAGTAGATGTATTAACACTCGCAATTCAACATAATTATAATACAATAATAATATATTACGATTACTGAATATTTTAAAACAGATGTTCAAAAATATCCGAGACCACATTTCATGTATGTTATATGTTAACCTATACGTAACTAGGTGCGTTGCGTTTATTAATTGAATATTAAAAGTATAAAATTTTAATCCACTTTGTCACTGGTGCTCTGAGATGGGATTAAGAATTAAAAATATTATCCAGTAAGCATTGTGAAAGCGTATAACATTTTGTCATATTCCATTTTTTTTTGGGATAGGAGATATTTTTTTAAAGTTTTATAAAATAAATATTACAGTAGTGTCAGCCATTTTTATCGATATGAGAATCATTTGTAAACAATTATAAAATATTAATAAGTATTAGTGTAATAGTCGACGTTATAATATGTACATGGAAAAGTAAAATGAAAATGTATTTGTAGTGGTACCTATTGTTAAAATATTAATTCCGTCACGTACCATTACTTATGTAAATATATCGAAAATATTGTATTTTTTTAACAAGAAACAGACATTCGTCAAAGAATCACTTACGTATTCTTCTAGAATCCCTTACGAATTATCGTACCTACCTTTTTATATGAATTCACAAAATATCAGTGAATAAGTATTTTAAATGTCACAGTTCCGAATACGACTGGCTTATAATACAATACTTGAATTAGAAAGACATCCGCGGCGGATTCACTGTTTATATATAAGATATTTGAGTATTTCGTCATCGATTTATATCTTTGACGGACAATAATTGAAGAGTGGGCAAGTTTAATTCTATACATATAATGTTTGTTTCATAGAATTTTGCATTCACAATGCTATCTCAATATTTATCTAAAATACTTGAATAAAGAAAACAGCAGCGAAAGTAAGTAATTGAGATTTTGACAGTTAGAAGAGCTCATACAGCTAGCGAAAGGTGCTTGATCGAATTTTGTTTTTTTTTTGTAAATTTACAGCTTTAAGCACAGCGCTGTCACAATATAATAAGTGTTCAATGAAATAAAACCCACTTAAAATGGTAGGTATTTAATATTGGTTTTATTTTATTGACACGTCATAGAGCATCTTCAATATAATAAAACCTTTATATTTTTTTTTTAACAGTAGGTTTTAATTGTCTGAACCTCT